GGGCATCAATGAAAGGTGGAAAACCAATTGATCAACCTTTAGAATTCCTTGAAAACTATCCTAAAGGAAAGGCTTATCTTCATCCATTAGGAGGTTCTGATGAAGTTAGTGGAAGTCATAAAGGTTATTGTTTATCGGAATTCGTAGAAATTATGAGCAGTTGTTTAAGTATTGCAAACTTCTTAAATCACATCGAAGATGAAAAAGAAAAATCTGGCAAGTTTTCATTGGGTCATTTCTTTATTGCAATTAATGTAGAAGCCTTCAGAGACTTAAATGACTTTAAGAAAAACGTCGGTGACATAAATCGTACTCTTAGAAACTCCGCAAAACTACCTACCCATGATCGTATTTATACAGCTGGTGAAAAAGAATATGAAACTGAACAACTCAGAAAATCTTTCGGTGATAATTTACCTTTAGTCACTATTAATGAAATGAAGGAACTCTCTTCTTTCTATAACGTCCCTCTTCCTTTTTAATTTCATTCTTTTATTTAAATTTTGGTTATAAGAATTTTGGCTAATCGTGTGTTTGATAACGTTTGGGATTGATTGCAGGATTAGTTTAAAAGGAGCTATAGTTTAATACCTTTTGTTCTTAGGTAATGCCTAAATATGTTTCGAAGTTTTTTTGAGTTGGGACTATAAAATGATAACCAAATTATGGTGATTTTAGTCACTTACACACTTGGGCTAATACCTGTTAATATTCCTTTGTTGTTGAAACCTTTTGTTTTTAAATCAATAAGTTTGTCAAGTGTAAACTCAATGCACATGTTTTATGAGATTCAATTTAATAAGACTTTCGGGTGAACACAAAAAAATAACAACTCTTTTACCATTTTTTTATTGTGTTTGTTTGCTTCAGTTTTTATTTATTTTAGATTTACTTATTAAAGGTGAATGGTGTATATGGCTTGTAACTTTGTTGGATGCTCCTGAAACAAAAATGAAACATTTTTTCTATTAAAGTGGTCTTTCAGTGACATGAGTGTATTGACTTTTAATGTTGATATAATTAGCAAGTTATTTATTATAAATGGTCAAGTTCTTTTCTTGGCCAAAATAATGCAAAATAACTGAGAAGAGTTACTTGGTTGATTGAAATGAAATATTTTCTTTTTAACTGTCATCCTTGTTTTCAATAACACTTTCTCTTTTTGTTCAAACAATTATAAAAAAGAAGATAGAGAGTAAAAATTCATAAAATGAAGAAGTATAAAATGAAATCAATAATCATCTTCGTCATAATCATCTTCATCTTCATCATCTTCGTCTTCCTCTTCTTCAAATTGTTGATCAAAAACCAATGGAGGGATAGTATTTGAATAGTAGTCATATGAATAAGGAATAATTTTATTCAATAGCAGTAGTAAACATTCCACATCTTCTAATTGTTTGAAGAAAATACTTGTAATCTGACACTTCCATTGATGAAAAGTAGAAACATTACTTTCTATTATTTCACCAGTACAATCCAATTCAGCTGACAATTGATAAATTAATTCATTAACCATAGAATTTGGTGCAAAAGTGAACTTAACTTGGATGTTAACAATGACATTATCACCAATGTCTAATGACTTAACTCCAACGGAATAATTATTGATTATAACTCCTTTCATTTTTTTAAGAATCATTTCATCAATTGACTTTTTTGAACAATAATCAAGGATTCCTGAGTTCTTAAAAACAAGGTAATAAAACTCACTAACACTTACTTCACCTAAACAACTTTCTTTTACTAGTTTTGATGATTCTTGCCATAAAGCATAGGTTTGTTGTAAACCAACTTCATAGTCAATATCAGTTTGAATATTTTCAAGTGCTTCACAAGCTCTTTGTACTTTTCCTACATTTCCAACTGAACTAAAATAATCGTCCATTGTTTTAATTTGAGAAACTCTTATTCTCTTCATATCTTATCAAATGGAATGAAAAGACTTTTTTCTTTCTTTAAATAGTTTTATTTTTATTATTAGTTTTATTATTATTAAAATACTTTTTTTTCATAGAACTTATTAACTCAGTGTTTAATGTTTTGGGGTATTATTATTCAGCCAAATGGATCATTTGAATCAACGTGTGAAGATATACTTCACATTACTCAGGTTTGTCTTCAAGAAGAATTAAAAGATGAAAAGATGCATCGTGCGTTTATTAAAATAGATAAGGAGGAAGTGTGTATTGCAAGTATTAGTGGAAAAAATCTTAATTCTCCTGTTTCAATAATTATCGAACCAGAGCATTCTTTCACTTTACTTAATAAAACACAAAATGTTATTTATATTTCAGGATATACAATAGCCCAAAACAAACCGTCTCCGGAAATGGAAGATAGTTTGGTAATTGAAAAACAACAATTAGCAAAAAGCCGTAAATCTGAAAAAAGAAAATCAATTGTTGCCCCAAAGAAACCACTTTCACCTGCATCAAAAAAAATAGTTAGAATTGGTGGAGTAGAAAAGTCAATTCCGATTGAGTCATATGTTTGTTTATTTTTATTTATTCTTTCATTTTATGATTAAGATTAAGGTGAGATAACTTATTTTTCTTTTAGGAAGAAAGATTGAAAAAACAAAATAGAAGACAACGATTTAATAATGCTTTTATTTAAAGTTGATTGTTAAAATTTTTTTTGTAAAAAAAAACTAAAAAACATCTTAAAAAAAATAACAAAAAAATTTAAGGAATAAAAAAAGGAATAAAATGTCTATTTGGACTAAAATTAAACATTCTTTCAGTCTTTTAGTTATTTCTGAAATATTTAGTGATGTTATTGTTTTTGGAGTATCTTTACTTACTATTATAATTACATTATTTTGCTCTCCAAATCAAATGGTAATTCCTAATGAAAGAAGTAATGTAAATGTAGACTATCCTTATATTGAAAAAGAAACAATTCCTTTTTGGCTTTGTGCTCTAATTTCATATGTCCCACCTTTTCTCTTAATACTTCTCTTTTCATTCTTCAAGAAATCTTCAAAATTTTTATGCTATTCTTTGTTTTGTTTAATTCTTTGCATCTCTTCAAATATCGCTGTTACTAATTGTGCAAAACTCTTTGCTGGTCGTCCTCGTCCACATTTTTATTCTAGACTTTCTGAACATCCTGAACAAGTTAAATCAGTATATCAGAGCTTTCCTTCAGGACACTCATCTTCTATTTCAAACGGAATGACATTTTGCACATTATTGCTTGCAGGTCAAATGAAAATATTTGCTTCTTCTCAAGAATCATGGAAGTGTTTGTTTTTTTTTTGAATCTCAATAAATTTTTTTATAACATTTGTAGTATTGGTTGTGTCTCTTCCATCAATAGTAGCTATTTTCATAATGATAACACGAACTCGAGATTATTATCACAATTTTTCAGATATCATTGGTGGAGGAATTATAGGATTTTTTACTACCTTATTATTTTATTGTAGTAAATTTAACTCGTTATCAAGTGAGCATTCAGATGATTTAAAAATTACATCAATGACTGAAGTTGAAAATCAAACATATATGTTTGATGTATAACCTAAAGTTAAAAAGAATCAATCAATTTAAAATTAATTTAAAGTTTCACTATAATTTTGAAGATTTAATGATAATTCTTGAGGGATTTCAGATTGGAATCTCCCAAGTTTTCCTTTGAGTTTGTCAAAATAAACAAAACGGGTATTGGTATCACTTTCTCTGAAAAGATAAAATTTAACTATATCCCATAACTTTTGAACGATTTCAGGACTTTTTTGTGATGAGTGTAGATACAAAACTAATAAATCATCATACAATTTGAATTGAGATGCAATGACACATAAATCAGTCATAGTCATCACCTTCATTCGAGTATTTTCTAGCTGAGTTTGAACTTCTTGAATAGATTGAGATACATTAGTATCATTTTCTTGACTATTACTTTTTTGTAATAAGGATGTTCTTAATTCATCTAACGAGTGATGAACAATGCACTGACACCTTAATAAGTCATTTATTTGAACTAATTGACTCCTTTCAGTTTCAGAAATTTTTCCAATACTACCTAAACAATTTCGAATTTCATTCAATCGTTCATAGACATCACTTTCAGATAAAGAATAATGAACAATTTCTTTAACAGAAGCATCAATATTTCCTTGTAATATTCTAACTTTCCACATAAATTTAGGTGCATAATTGCTAATGAACGAATCAATCCCTCTAAATCCTAATGTGACATCGATAGTATTATCATCAACCATATATCTTAGGACAAGATCTCTATTTGGTCCACACGACATAATTTCTTTCACTATAGTCATTGTTAGTGCAGGTATATGCTTAACTCGTTTAATACATTCAGATACAATTACTGTTGACCTTGAAATATCTTCGTTTGGTTTATTTAATGAATGAATAGCAATAATTGCTGATTGAACATAACACTCCATATCATACAAATACTCTGCCAATGGTACAAGTCCAGAGTCAGCTCTAATAGCATACTCAACAACAGTGTTAGCAGTAAGCTCTTTAACTGATTGATGGGTTGTAGGAGTAATTTTTCTAATTGAAAGAAATGCAAGGATTCGTTGTTGAGTAGATTCAGGAAGAATTTCTTGTGTAAAAAATAAAGGGATTTCAGTAATCTTTTCTTCTGCATCAGGTAGTTGTAACACATTGACAAGAAATTGTTTTAATTCTCCTAGATTTTTATCATCTAAGAAAGCAGCTAAAGGGGTAAGTGAAAAAGAGTTTAATTCATCTGGAATTGATACTGAAGCAAGGAAAGAAGGAATATAAGTTAGTGCAATCATTCTTCGAAGTTGATTGTAAATAGAAGATAATGGAGATGAAAGAAGGAAAGAATGTGATAAATATTGACGTATTAAATGATTTAAAGAAGTACATAACAAATGAAGTTTATATGATTTTTGGATAGGTTGAGTTAAATTAATTTCAAGTAATTGATTTTGTAATATTGAAAAATGTTTTAATGAAATAGTAGTAAAGTCATCTGTCATTAATACTTTAGCTAAAAATTTAACATGGTCTTTAGGTAATTCTTTAAATGCAATGGCTTGAAAACACCACTCAATTGCTCTTTTGTCATATAATCGAATTGCCTCATCAACAATATCTCTTACACCTATTCCAAGTTCAGCTTCTTTTAATACGCAAATAAATTGATTATATGTACTTTGATCTTTAAGTTGAATTAATAATGTTTTTATTTCTTCTGGACATGGATTTGGAATTTGTTGAACATGAAAAGTAATCTCTTTTATCTCCTGATTATCTAGTAGATTTAGTACAATC